CGCGTGATAACATCATCGCACAGGTGCTGGAGATGCTCAACAAGTACAACTAGACTTTCTGTAAGTTCATCTTCATCTTCGTCAGTTTCGAATTCTTCTCTTCAACGCCAACGACCAGTTTTGTCAGTCACCAATAGCCACAATTTTTTTGGTGGATAAATCACTTCACTTCTTTGCTGATCATTCCATCCCATCCATCGCTTCTCATCCTCAACGCTACCACCGCCACCGCAACACATCTTCCCGTTTCTCTCCCTCGTTTTTTTGTTAACGATCTTTTTTGACTTCTTTGTCTTGTAATTCCATTTTCCACTTTTCATCCTTCTTCACGCTGACATTCTTTAGCCATATTCGCATCCTTTATTTCGCCATATTCCCCTTTTTTGCTTGGCACCTGCTTGCTTTTTCTCCCTCTCTCACTGCTTCCTCATTTTTCTTGTATCTTGTATCTAAAAAGAAATAAAAAATGTTAATACAAAAATCAGTTTGCAACTGGAACATCTAGTGGTACCTTTGGTAAACAACAAAAAAATGTGCTGAAAAAATAAAAAATAAGAATGCCGGTTCTGTGAAATAGCCGTCCGAATGGGGGCTGGCGCTGTGGAAATGGCCGCCAGTTGTTTTGCAGCCGAATTTTACCAACTCACTTGATTGAGCGGGATTTCAGCAGGATTCTCATCTGGTAAAGAACAGTTCTGGTTATTCAACCCTTATCAGGTTTCGCCCGACCTCCTCATCTTGCATTTTAATTAGAGCCCTCAGCATCATCATCAACAGCCTCACCGTTCTAGCAGAAGTAGAAGCCATGGCCACCACCTCTAACCGTGTCGGCCATCCGGTGCGCAACCGAAAGCGTAATCGCAACATCTACAACGAGGACGAGGAGACCTCCTTCGGCCCCTCGAATCGCATCAGTCAGCTGTACGCCAGCCAGCCGTCCACGTCGGGGTCGTCCACCTCCACCGCCGCCGGAAACTCAACGATCACAAACACCGGCACCGCCTCCACCTCCGCCTCCTCTTCATCAACATCAACATCAGCTGCTGATAACAAGGGAGCATCATCCAAAGGCAAACAGGTGTCCGTCTTTGGGCCCTCCTCCTCCTTCTCATCTTCAAAAGGAGGAGGAAGCCAGAATGAGTACAACAACAACAACAGCAGCAGCGGCAACAGCGGCAGTAGCAATAACGCCAGCACTAGCACCAGCACCAGCAACACTGGCAGCCCCTCGAAGGCGAATCGCTTCAACAAGCACATCGGCGCCGCGGTGACCACCAGCCTGAAGACGCTGCTGAAGCTGCCCAAGGCGCACAACTGGG